TATATATATATATAGTTGTTCTGTCTTTTAGCAGGAATGGAGAGCATGTTAAGTCAACTGTTCTTTGGGATATTGGTAGCTGAACTTCGGGAAAGATCACGTTGCATGTTGTACAGCTTTTGCCATTGCAGTTTGCATGCCAAAACCGTGCATCCAGTTATGATTTCCAGTGTTCTAGTTTTAAATTAAATGAAAGGCAGAGGGTACGCCCAAATTAATGGAATATGATGAAACATGAGTAAGGGGTAGGGGGAGTGAAACACTTTCCACCAATGGTTATTTTCAGCAGATCCTGACGCAGACAAAGGAAAATAGGTCTAACAAGATCGTATTATAATCAATAATTTCATAAAATATAAAAATAATAAAACCTTCATAAAATTCAAATACTAAGTTCATCTAAATCCAACAAAAACCCTTCTGTCGTATGGGCGCAATGTTAATGACGCAACATTCAGTACCTACAGTTAGATTGTTTCAATACTCAACAGCTTTACATTTAACACGGTGGTAATGAAAGGGCGCATTATTACGTATGATGTCATGTTACTGATTCTAGTGAGTGACGGACGTACTGATAAGTTCGTGTTCGCAATTTAAATACTGCGCGTGTGTGGAGGAAATGGCTCAGTGTTATCCAGTAGGCGCGCCCAGGAGGCCGTTGCGCAGCGCCCACAGAGTGCGCCGCGGTTCGCGAAGTGTGTTATCTTTCGCTTTGAAGTGTTTGGAGCGCCGCGTCGCGGCGCAGCTGAGCTCTCCCTCGCACGTTTATTCGTCGACGCGAGGGAAGCAGTTGCAGATGTAGCTCCAGGTGTTCGGGCGCTCGTACTGCTTCTTTGTGCAACAGGTTTTTGGATTACGACTTCACTCATCAGCGTCTACCAGCAAGCTTTTAAGGTAAAAGTGAGTTCTGTGAGAGCGTTGTGCGTTTAGAAGTGAAATATTTGTTTTTGAAAGTGCGTGAAATGTGTAAAAGTCGAAATGTGGAAGAAACTTGACACTTGTGTGTTTTTGTCTGTATACTGTATTGATAAAAATCCTTTCTTCTTATTCGTATACTTTCTTTGTTAAAAGAGAAGAATGTGTTAGAATAGTATTTATCTAGAAAGTTACTCATTTCCGCATTTCGTAGGCTATTAGTAGCACGTTTACTTTGGAGAAATTGGCATGGTCGTTAAAGCAGCTCAAGAAAGAGGCCACATAGTACGTGACTGGTGGGTACATTTCTGAGAATGGCCCTTGTGAACGTATTTATCACATTAGATTACGAACAAAAAGATAAAGCCTGCAGTGGATAAGGCCAATTCATGCAGCTCTGCTGCTCAGTAACGCTTGCTACGCGTTGTAGCAATGTGTAAGTCTCTTTTGTCCGCACCAAACGCTGCATTTCTAGAGGATTTTAAAATATGTCTGGTGTAGAAACGAAGCGTCCTCCTTTAATATTTTTCTATTCTACTAGTGTCCTTCGAAGGATGTTCACTAACTGCACTCGAACATAAGTTTCCATTGCTAACGTGACAATAGAGTGAAAAAGTTTCTTTGTGAGCGCCATTTACAAAAGAATCCATTTAACAATTATTTCGTAATACTTTACTAAATAAGATGTTGAACCTTTTTTTATGCCGAAGTAATGTTATAAATTTTAGATGTAAATTAAATAACTGTTCCGAACATAGACAACTAGTTATGAAAACATTTCAGTGTTCTGTAAACATTAACCATGGAGACAAGCCTTAGTTTGGCGCTCTCGTGTAGATGCTGTTCGTAAAACCTGAATGTTTCGCTATTCTACGAATAGGTTCCATGTTGAATGCCACGGTGTGTTGAAAAGTAGGTGTCCATAGTCTTACGATCTTTGGTGCTTCGTTACATAAAGTGAGGAACCCAGAGGTTCGGCCGAATGCTCTGTCTCCTGTGACGCAACATTTGCTGTGTTATAACATTTCCGGTATTAATCAGACTTGAAATACGTGTAAAACACCGAATTTATCCGTGCACATTACGATAGAGGTTTATTCAAAATTTGAACATTCAGAGTTCTTCGCGGGATTAAAGCTGAAGTAGTTTTGCAAGTTTTGTTTTATAGTCTTTGTTAATTACCTTTTAACACGAACCAATATTACGGAAGATCAGCTGACTGCTTCTTGACTGACAAAGATCTTGAGCTGTGTTAGTTCGCGTTAACGCGAATTTGGTGTTTCGTGTCTTTCTGCACACACACATTAAACAACAAAACTGTGATTAATAATTTTTTTAGAGTTTAATTTGTCAAGAGTTCTGATCTGGTAAACGTCGATCGATTATCACCTCTTTTTTTTTAATCGTAGGGTTCTTTGTTCCTATCTTTGTTCGGTATGAGGTTTCTTATTTTTATATTAATTATCTGGATTGACAGGATTCGGATTAGTATGGCTCCATTGAGGTTCAATCGCAGAGAAGGTGGTGTGGGTGTTTCTTTGAAACGTGCGCAGCTGGGAGTGTTCTCCTGGAGCAGCACGTGGTGACTCGAACGCCAGAACAGCGCAGAAATTCCACCGAGCATTCGCGTTGGCCTCCCCAAGTGATTGACATAAGACTCATTCTGCTGCGTTATTTTAATGCCGAGGAAAGCAAATAGAGAGTGGAGGCTAAAACAGCACCGTAAGTGAAATGTTAATCTCGCTTTGTTGTGTTTAGTCATTTCGTTTAGCAGACGAGAATGTGAAATACAAACTTTGCCAAAGAATCATTAAAATGTACCCTGATATTTCATAAGAGTCAAAATTTCGGTATGGGGTATCGCAAAGTGATGCGGAAGTTGTTATAGTCAAATAGTTAAGAGTATAGAAGTGCAGACAAACGTCTATACATATATGAAGAGTACTAGTGTAAACTAGAGAGACTGAGGTATAGTTTAGATCTATCGACGTTTTTAAAAATTTGGAGGTTTGAATATAGTGGTAAATATTCAAAGAAACGACGAATGTTCAAATGTAAGAGTTACCTACTGGGTTTACGATTGAATATATTGAGCAGTCACATTGTGTGCTTGTGTGTGTGTTTCTTATTAATTTGAAAAAAATCTAAACGGTAACAAAGCAAAGAATGTGTTTCTTTTCAAAGAATGTGTAAGATAAAGTAGAGAATTAGCTAACACGTACAAAGAATGTTAGTTATTTCCTCCGATATTTTTTTTACATTGTTATTCATCTGTGATACTGCAGTTGTTCAGAATTTTTACAATATCATACTTAGAAAAAGTAGCTTCAACTTGTTCTGTTCATTAAAAAACAAATTGGTTTTGTAATAAACAACCCAATTTTGTCAGCCATCCGTGTAGAGCGTTTGGTTTGGTTTATTACGCAGTATGCTGAAATGAATGGATGAAAATGAGAACTCTGTGTCATTTTATAAATTCTGAGAAAAACGCTTTTATTTTAGGCTGTATTTCAGTTGCAACGTTATTTCGTGGTTTTAATGAACAATTGAAATGCCGTGATTTCAATGAAACAAAGCACCACGACTTTGCAGTAATATTGAATTAAATTTTGAATGATTGAAAGTTTTCTCAAAATTTATAAAATGTCACTTATACCGTTCTGGTTTTCACCCATTCAAATGTTGTTGTTGTTGTTGTTGTTTTTTCGTGTGAGCTTCTTTTGTCGAAAATGTTAGTTGTACAATTTTATGAGTTTTATTATTCGGAAGTGCAAGCGGGGAGATGCAATGTATGTAGACAGTACTTCCTATCTTAAACTGGTTGGCCATGCAAAGATTTGAGTGCGAACACTTTCATCGTCCGTGTTGCCATCATACGCTCGTTGCCATCTTGTCAATTATTCAAATGTGAATGATAAATGAAAGGCCAGGAATTCCGGAACTCAACAAAATGTGTGCAGATAGTACATTCGTAGACTCGATTACTATTGGTAGATGGTAAATTAGGCCGACCCACATGCACGAAGTCCCAAAGAGCGTGAGCCGACTTCGCGCTTCGGTCCGGAGGGTCGCAGGTTCGAGCCCGGCTTGGGGATGGTCCCTGGTCTCTCGTGTATGTGCTGTCGCGGAGGGTTCTGCGTTCTGACCTCAATCAGAGGACGTAAAGGGTAACCAGCTTTCGGCAGGATAAAAGCTCAGGAAAGAAAAAATGGTAAATTACGTTTTACTTAGGCGTTCTGAACTATTGAGCGCTTCTCTGATGGTAAATAGTTGGCCATCGGGCTTGAGAGCTTGTCACATCGAACTATACCTTTGACATAAAAATTGAAAGGAAATAATGGTGGAAATTTTTTAATATGTAGAAGGTTGAAAAAAAACTTGTTAGCAAAGTTTATAATAGATTTTGCTTTCTAGTTTTCATTAGATAATACATATTTGTTTTTTTGTCTTGTTTTCTATTCGTAGAGCTTGCGAAAGGGCCTAGAACATTACCAATCATTGCTATTTATACGAAAGGCGGTTTGTGTTTCCATGGTGATCTGGTCTGGTTGTAAACATGTCACGGATGAATCTTTTTGCAGGTTGTGAATCTGCAAACGAAGCTAAATACGAATAGTACACACAGACAACGTCCTCATAAATAACTCAAGCTGCATTCGAGGCTAGTTTCAACATTGCTATCGCTGACGCTTGTAGGTTACTATTGTGGGTTCTAGCCAGAGGAAAGGAACTGGAACCAATTTGCTAGTTGCTTACGTAGCTTGTCATTCTATGAGAAGTGTATTAATTTTTTTTTCTGATAGGAAATGGTATCCATTTTGTATTGCGAATCATTATTTTGAGGGTTATTTATTTCCTCTGTTAATAGAGCCGCAATTTTGTACTGATTTGCCATTATTCTGTCACCACTTGCCGGAATTAACACTGCCCTGTGTGAATGTTATCGTAAGGAAACATCTAATGGGTCTGTAAATGGATTTGAATTAAATTAAATTAAATTAAATTGGCTTAGTGTGACACCGCCATCGGGTACTTTCATTTTAAAAAAAAGTGTGCTATGCTGGTTCATGGTATGGCTCATCCATTGCGACATAAATCTTTTAAAAAGGTTTCAGATCAATATTATTTCAACATTTATCATCAATCTGATTAATCAAGCCGTTATACCGAAAAAGCAGTGTAGTAATTCCGTTTCTTGCATTTTAGTTAGATTACGTTTTTAGTTTATCGCCATTGTATCGGCCATTTCTAACCTCGCTACATTCTCTTCGGTGGAGATTCATTCTCATCCATCTTCTTTCCTGGAGGAGACCTGTGTAAGTATGGGGATCAATGAGAGCGTAGGCTTCCGCGACCGGAGTCTGTATTTACTTGGCTTGTAATGCATTACGCCCTGAGGAAGGTCGCAGAATGGCGACCGAAACGTCGACACCTTCGCCATGGACGCGGTGTCACCCGGACTGCCAAGTAAATAAATATGGGGATCAGCTTTTTGTCTGTATCCCTTCGTGAGAAGGTTGTTAGGCCTTGAATTATGAAGTGATAGGATGATAGATGATTTCTTTTTTAAACTATCCCAGCATTTGCCTGAATGACTGAGGGGAAACCATGAAAACCTCGGTCAGGATGGCCGTCACAGGGATCGATCCCTGGCCCGATTGAGTAGTCAGCGCGCTACGCACTGAACTACTGCGCTAGTTTGTTGTTGTGGTTATTATTATTATTATTATTATTATTATTATTATTATTATTATTATTAGGGGGATTTAGACTAACTAAAAATTGCCAAAAATTCTTTTTATGCTTTGAAAATGCCCAAAAAAAACAAAGAAAATTAAGTATTAAATTTGATTGAAGCCACTGCAGTTGAACAATTCACTGTTTGGAAGGTTACTAATTTAATCTAGGCTTCTTCCTATTATTAAAGTGAACTCAGCGTGCAAACTTATGGTTTGAACTGTTCTTTGAAAGAAAAACTC